AAATTTCCGCAATATAATATATATAAATACCTTTTCTACAGTGATTCTCTCCTTTTAGTTTCGGCATGACTGTAGGATGTTATAGTAAGTCATCGTCAGTTAGTAAGCGGCCATAAATCATTATATGTATGTATAGACATACATATATACATTTTTTGATTTTAATATTTATGTTTTTTTGAATTTTGATTGATTTTTTGAAACCTGGTAGAATTATTTTTTTCCATACCAATTTATGGGCCTGAGTATAATGCCAGTTATGCTCTTTGACCGAATTTATTTTTTATTTTATGCTCAATTGCAGACCAAACAATATTGATTGCGCATTTCCAAAACAAAATTTTACCTCTTCTCCTTCTAATAATAGCTCCTGCACCTAACACGGCGGAATAGTTATTATTATCATCAATAAGACCATTTACGGAAACAGTTTTTGTTAACAGTTATGAGTGTAACATTTTATCAGCTGCTTTGTTTATAGTGCCTCGAGCAACACTTTGCCGGTTTCTGTACAGAAAATGATGCTGGCTTTGCAAATATGAGTGGCCGCTACCATTGAATATAATACCCACTATTACACTTATTTACATAGAAACTTTAATTATCATTTGCATAAAATTCTAAATAGCACTTTTTACACAAGAAAGTAAACTTTTAGATCAGTCCATTTTGTTTTTCACTAATTAAGTAAAAAGTAAAACAAACCAATAGGGCCGTGATTTAAAATTTCTTGCAACTTCTTATAGAAAAGCATGACCTTATCATAATATAAAAGTCAATCATTTAGCCATGTGATAAAACTTTTAAGTGTGCCAGTCAAACATTAATGATGATCAATGAATGTCATTATACTGGAAATAGTCTTTTAAATATTTTGTAGTACAATTGATAATCTTCAGTATGATTGACCGTGTATATGACTTTTATAAGTCTATGTTATTTTTGATGAAAATTATTATTGCAGATAAAAGCCCTTTCACATTTATTTTAGTCTCGGATTAAATTAATCAAAATAAAAATAATATCATTGGCTCTTTATAACTGATCTTTAAATGTAAAACTGACTTGAAATTATATAATTATTGGCATTTTTTTAATTCATTGAACTTTTTTTTTGATTTTGTTGAAACTCTACTGGTAAAAAAAAAACAACTATATATATATTATAGTTCTTGATGAAAATAATGTATGCGCGTTACATCGCATCCCATCAAGAATTTCTAATGTAATTGTTGGTGTAGAGCTAAGACGTGATAATAACTGTAAACAATAGAATAACAAAATAATGAAAACATTTACATTTACATACAAAACATTTACAAAAATACTTGCTTTGTAACCTAATAAATATTATTTGACCGTAATAAAATAAAACAAGGTAGTCTTCGGCATGAAAGTAAAAATAAATAATTTCGATTATATTTGCAATATCTAACAGCCGGATCAGCGGGAGATTCTGATCCATCTAAAGATGCTAAATTTCAGCAAGCACTGTCAAATTCAATAGGAGTGACAGAAAAACGGTTCTTGATATAGAAAGGTAAATAAATTATTTAACCTATAAAGTAAAATCACTTTATTACAAATCAAAATAGCCCAATAGCTTTATTAACATGAGACATAATTGTACGAGTGCTTACAATACTTAACATTATTTTACTGAAATCTCAGAAAGTTTTTTTAATAGAATAAGGGTGACAAACGAGCACACAGTCCACCTGATGGTAAGTGGTTGCTACGGCCCATACACATCTACATACATGGAAGATATAATATTATATTATTACTGTCCCGTGTGAGGCAACCTTTATACTTATATACATATTCTCATCATATTTTTATGGTTGGTTAGAAAAATTATATCTAAATGCAAACTTTCACAGGGTAAATTTTTTTTTTACTATTTTTACCCAGCAAGTAGTAAAGCAACTACAATCCCATCGGTAAGTGGTTATGTAGTCTAAGATGGTGAATTGCACTGACTTAACAAAAACCTATTCACTCTTGCCTAATAGTACTAGGTAAGTATTATTTGCGACCTATTTGTGTGTGTGTGTGTGTGTGTGTGTGTGTGTGTATGCGCGCGTGCGTGCGTGCGCGCGTGTGCGTTTGTGTGTGTGTGTATATGTGTGAAGAAAAGCGTATGAGAATACGTGAAGAGGAATAAAGGTTGAGTACTAATTCGCTTACCTGTACGAGGTTGCCACTCGAGGACCTTTCTTCCTATTTTTTATCTGTTTTCCAAGTTATATAGCTAGCCCATTGCCATTTCACTGTAATATTCCGTTGGGCTATGTCAGTTACTCTGGTTCTAATGCATATATCTTCATTTCTAACTTTATCACGTAGAGAAACCTCTCTCCAATTTAAAATTTTTACATTTTTAGATGATAGTTTGTCTAACATAAAAAGAACCATAAACCCAAGAATGACTTTATATAGTTATTTATACTTAGGTAAGCACCATTCTTTTGTTTATTTAAATTGTTTGATTTAATTTGATAAGTGTACCTAAATGTAAGTATCTGTATCTTTATTTCCCTACCCAATAATATTTTATAAAGTCATACTCATAAAAACAGCGTTTTATTGTAGTACATAATTATAAAATTGAGTATCAACTAATTAATAAAAATATGCAACAATAAAATTACATAGGTATTAAAAACTATCGAAATCTAAGTAATGAGAGCATGTTCGTCGTTCCACGTCTAAATTATATAAAAATGCATTTTTCAATTTAACTAATCAACGTCGCCGCGACAATTTCTTCTTCTTTGGGCACTTTAAAAATTCATTTATTTAGAAAATAATATTTACAGTTACCAGTGTACAGATATTAACTAAATTAAGTATTTCTTAGTCATTAAAATATTTATAATTGAGTATAAACTTTTAAAAAACTAATGTATATTTGAACGAAGTCGCTGCAACACCGACGTGCGGTCCACCCTCGACGATGTCCGAAAACGGACTGTGACAGAGCTTACATGGCGACGGAGCATGCGCGCTCGCGTAAATATATTCAATTTCAGGGAAAAATGATATATTCTCTTATAAAACGGGTAATAAAAATAAAACTCTCAATTAAAAATATTAATATTTTTAAGACCTTTTTTTTAGTGTAAGAACTATTTAAAAAGCTTGTGCCGTTTTGGAGAAATTTTGCAAAATATGACAAAGATAGGTACTCTTTGGGGATTTTTTTTCTAATAAGGGGTTGACAAAAATACAATTTTGTTAAATTAAAAACATTAACCAAATCTTCTTCTGTTACCCTGTATTTTTTCTTTGTGGATTAAATGAACAGTTATTGAGATTTTTTAACTTAAATATCCTAGATTTAGGCATTTCAACCACTGTTAAGGCAGAAATGCTTAGTTACAGAGGAAGCAACACGGCTGCATCTTCACTGTATTGTAAAATTCGGAAAATTTCCTGCTCAATAGTCCTTTATCGATTGTGTCCCTTCCCTATTTATGAGTCGTCCTTTTTTTAAAAGATAAAGGTGTCAAACGAGCACACAGTCCACCTGATAGTGAGTGGTTGCTGTAGGATAGACATCTATCCTCGATTACGAATCAAAATGCAGACGCGTTGTCACCCGTGAGGACTGAGATGGAATGTCTCGTTTCCAGTAAAAAGGATCTCCGGTTCTTACACTCACCATATGAAACACAGCAGCGTTAAGCTGCTATTTTGCGCTGGTATTGTGTGAGAGCGTGGCCCTTCACCGGTCGAGCCGACCCATCATGCTACAACTATACCAGTAATGTAGGTGCAGCATGGCTCTACCACGTAAAATGATAAAGATGATATAATTAATAGAATCAGGCGTTACTTTGCGGAAATCCATTATATAAAAGCTTTTTATAACGCGGATATTTGCGAAGTAAATTTTTGTAAAAGCTTTTAGATAAAGATGATGTTTTCACTTTATTTACCGACTTCAAAAAGGAGGAGGTACTCAATTCAACTGTATTTTTTTTGTGTGTTACCTCTAAACTTTTTTCTAGGTGAATCGATTTTGATGTTATAATTTGATCAAGGTTGGTCCAGTTAGTAGTATCTAGTAGTTTTTGAGTTATCCTTAATAATTTATATTGAAGTCGGTTGTACAAATTTTTTAATTTTTCCACTTGTTTATATAGAAGTCGGTTTTGGTTGTACAAAATTTTTAATTTTATTATTTGTTAAATTAACACCTGTCTTGTTACTTAGTAAAATAAGCTTTACAAATTCTTTATTAAATACCTACTTGTCATCACATTAATTCATTTTTAAGTTACTTTCTGAGATCTTTTATATATTCTTTAACAAATTTCGCGAATTCCCGGCATGATCCCTCAGTGCTCCCATACACAGAACCAGACGTCTCGCACTTTTGACGCTGCTTGTCGTCGTCGGTCTGGGTATTTTACGTCTGCCGTAAATGGGGTAGTTATATATGTATATCGCTCGTTATTGGTTAGCTATGAGATTTTTCTAGAATATCGCAGTCGCCTTTTACGACACCCGAAACGGATGAGTACTAAATAGAGATAACATCATTGACGAGAGGCACCAAACGGCAGCCATATGCAAATACAAAATTGTTTATTCAAAAGTCAAATGCATATTCTATTATTTTCTTGCATGATAATTTGTATGGACTAGTTTCAAGAGATCTACCTAAAGTGGCTGTTGGCCAACCTCTTGTGAGTGATAATGTTTTCTTAAGTCAAAAGAAATCGAGCGAATATCATTTTTAACTTAACATCTTTGAGAGCGTGATACGTGTGATATATTATTTAGATAATCAGTGCCGGTTCACGTGCAATCGAGTGTGATGCAATTTAAACCGATGGCGCTGTGTGAACCTTACATTCGTTGGTCAACCGGTTGTTTGACCGGACGTGCTTAGTTTACGGTCTATGTCTGTGACCGCCGTTCGCAATGAGGCGAATTTTGAGATGTGTAATTGTTTTTTTATTAGCAGACAGCACTATGGTCAATTTTAGGGTGCTTGCGAGAGGAATGGCGACTGTTGCGAAGTCATTTGCTGAGCACGCGGTGGTTCCGGACGTCGTGCCTGTGGCCCCGACCGCCCTATTGAAGGTGAGTGTAAATTTTATTAATATATAATATTTTTTATCACAAAGCTAGCATCATGGCCAAATACTTCACAGGTGTCACAGTCACTTTGACTTAAAGTGATAGAGACAGCACGAGACTTAACGACATCTTAAAATTGAGCGGCGTTTGAGTATTTGGGCATCAATCGAATGACGACTAACTAGAATTCACCTAATGATAAGTCACTTATTGTAGCCTATTATATAATGCATATAGATAATATGCATTCCTGTCAAAATTACTTGTCGCATTTTTTTGGTCAAAAATCCCAACATTTCTACAGCAACGGGATTATGTCATTACCTACAAGATGGCAACAAGTAATCAAACAAAATGGCACATATATATTATAATTAAATGTAATTAAACTTTGAAAACAAATGTCTTGAATTTGTATATAAAATACGAAGAAACTTTTTCCCCGACCTATTCTTAAAACATTTTTTAAGCATAAAACTGCATGCTGTTGTAACTGAGATAACAAAACAAATACCTATATGCATTTGTTTGTTGACTTTTCTTTTTATTCGTATTTGTTTCTTTTTATTTCCCGTTTCACTTTGTAAAGAAGTTATCTTTAGGCATCTGCTTTCACAATCGACACACTAACTAAACAAGTTACTTTGTTCTTCTGTTTATTCGCGCCATGTTATGTAACGATTCAATTTTTTATTTAATTTACACCTATGGCCTTGTTATATCAACGGTAGTACGGACCGTCGGTTAAACCGTTGCAACGACAGTTCGATTAGTAATCATATTTATACGCGGTAGAGGTAGAGCCATGCAGCTATATTATGGTTGTAGGTTATAGCACGAATGGGTCGGCTCGACCGGGGAAGGACCACGCTCTCGCAGAATACCAGCTTAAAATAGCAGCTTAACGCTGCTGTGTTTCATATGGTGAGTGTAGAGAACCGGAGACCCCTTTTACTGGAAAGGAGCTTTCCATCTTAGTCCTCACGAGTGACAGCACATTTGCAATTTCGATTCATAATCGAAGATAGTTGTAGATGTCTATGGGCCCACAGCATCAGCAACCACTTACCATCAGGTGGTCTGTGTGCTCGTTTGTCACTCTAATCCTATAAAAAAATGTTCCGGGTCTGGATGTTTGTCCTTGTGAAATTTGTGTTTGTAAACTGCCTCATTACGAAAACAAGTTGTGCGCTATAAAAATGGAAGAAATTTACATAGTTTCAATGACATTGAGTGTTTTTTTATAATAACCTTTGAATAACAATAACAAAATTACACTTTATCATAAGTGTGGGAACGGACCTTCGCCTATATCTTATTATATTGAGTACTTAAATAAAAATAAAATTATACGACACGATGTTATGATATTTTATTCAACGCTTCTCTGACGTTCTATCTCTATCGTAACTTTTTTATGGATATACCTACCGTGAGTATACGGTAGGTATATCCATAAAAAAGTTGGAGGGTTAAGGATTAGTCGGGCTTGCTTCGACTATGGTCTTTCTTCGCTGCATAGATCCTTTCCCTTCTACCATGGGACAGCCAGATGCTCGGCCATTCTTCACCCTTTCGTTGTTGACTTACCACGCAACCTTCTTTGCTTTATTGTTAGTCATGCGTTCAGTAAAAGAGTGGGATATGTTGCCAGCATCTGTCTTTCCATCCGATTATAATTTGGGTGTCTTTAAGACATCCGTGAGTAGGCTTTTATTAAGTCAGTGCTCTTTATCATCTTCGGCTGCATCACCACTTGCTATCAGGTGAGATAGTAGTTAACCACTGGCCTAGAATAGTAAAAAACATATCTACAGCCTTTCCGACACTGGATACCAACCTCCTTCCCCCATCCTTCACAGAATGTGCCTACTTTCACTCACGCGAAAAGCGTACTCGAAAGTATCAGCCTCCCCGGACACCGGGCCTGATTTAGTCTGTGACACCGATTACATATTGGCAGCGAAGATACCGACATAATCCCCCTTATCTCACTATTACAGGCCATGTTGAGCCGGCCCTCCAACAGAATAGCCATTTGAAATATTACATGGGTAATCAGACCTAAGCCGAATCGAGATTAAGAATTAGCCCATATTTTATCCCATTAGCATTCGGTGGTTGTTATTTTGATAAACCGGAATAGGAGATCATACCTATTTATTATTAAAGTTAGTGACAGTTAATGTTGATGGATTAAAATAATATCTCGTCACGGTAATGGCATTTTATTAACGGCCAATGATACTAAATTATATATGGATTACACTTGTTAGCAATTTTATTTTTTGATGAATGAAGTAAGTAATTTTATGATGTCTCATCGCAGGACATATTGTTGTTGATGTACTAGTATTTGAACAACTCATAACAAATAATTGCTAACTAATACCTCACCCACTCTTTCTAAATCTACACTTCTTTTACTTTTGTAACTAGTGCTGTCTCGATGGACGCCGACGTACCTACCTCTTCTGACGAATCTGTGTAAAACATCACTAGTTCACCGTGTAGGATATGATGAGATTTATTTACAATAGGCTTTTGTTACGCTAATTGTGGTCGAGCACTGGCTTATAACACAGAATAAATAATAGTCCAAGAACAGAAGGATCACCCTCTGATAGCAAACTTGCGAGTTTAAACTTAGTTACGATGCCCCTAATGTTCATAATACTTTGCACGCCTTGAAAGTGACCTTCGTGAAATTAGCCTACCGTTTATGTCGTAGAAAAAAAATATGCGGCGTGTGTATTAAATCACAATGCACCTTACGTCCGCGAGTGAGTGTCTGTATCACTTGGCCCGTTACGCGCCTTTGTTAAGACCGCTTCTACTGTAGAGTTAGGTGTTGTGAGAAAACAAATTGAATCCTTCGATATAAGTTGGTAGTAGAATACACCGAGGTTTTATGCAATGTATTAGTAATTTGCTGTTATAAGATATTATTGTTCAACGTAAAGTAGGTTAAATGTATTATCTGTATATTATCTATATCTATTAAGTTATATAGTATTAGTAGGTAATACTAATACTACCTACTTTACACGTGGACTTTGTGCTCGTTTATCACCCTTATTCTATACAAATTTGTTTGTACATAAGGCCATAAATTTCCTAATAAAGAAGTTTTAGTACGAAACAAAAATATTTATCGGATGTATTTTAACTATCGGGTTATTTTCATCGTGTATGACGCACTTAATCTGCATTTGAAAAAGTTATTGTGTGAAAAAGCCCATATTCGTAATTCGAAATCTGCCATTAACACACTTGCAAATTACCTTATTAGTTGTAATTGATCTCAAATTGAAGTGTTATACTGGTTATGAAAATTCACCATCTGTGTTGGAGAGGCAATACCCATTCTTTATATTTTGAACAATGATTCCAAAAATATTCATTCTTCAATGGAGTAATTGTCATATTGTGATAATAACAGGAAGCAAACTATTTAGCTTATATCTGCGAATTGTAAAATGTGATATTCACCCATGAGTAGGGTTACCATATGCCAGGAATTGACCTGACGTGTCAGGTTTTATACGCTTGTTAGGCTTGCGGATTTTTCGATTTTCCAATAGTGTTTTATTGGATTTAGTGGTTTTATTGGATGTAGAAGACTTTTTAGACTTTTTTATCAGAAAGTTATAATCATGCCAACTATAAATATAAACAAAAACATAATCTTTAGTTAGAATCATGAATTGATATTCACTTGCACTGTGTTGTAAATTTTAGTTTGCGATATAATTTCAGGACTCTTCTATAAAAGTCAGGCTTTTTGGCACGACTTTTTATCTACTGACATTGCATCTATTAGATTACAATCAACATAATCAAATACATTATTTACGCGGCGTAATTTCAGTAGTCACTTTTGGTCTGATTTTTTAGTTATCCATCCATAAGATATACCTAGATAGGTAGAGAACTAACAATAATAAACTAATTTCCAACTACACAAAATAATAAAACAATTTTTCAGAAGTCGGTACAAATACAAAGTATACCTAAGAATGAGGGCATCCACGTTTTTTCTGCCACCAGGTTGGCGCCACTTAAAATTGATGTATAATATTTGACAGATTTCAAGTTTCAAGGGAAGTTAATTTGTTCGGAAAATGTAAAGGTTAATGTTTCTTTATGTACTATTTGCTATATTTTATATTAATAAGATTAAAAATGAATAAACCAAACCACAGATATTCATAAAAGTAGAAAATATATATATTTTTTTAAATGTGTAAATAATTAAAGAAGAAACCACTGAGACATTGTTTTGTGTATTAATACAGGATGGTCAAAAGAAAAATTTATATTCCCCACACCTAGGGGTATCCGAAAATACCCCATGTATATTATTACGGATCGCCGTAATGCCGTGCGAAAAATGGAATAAAACGCGCTGGTCTTGCTTTTAACTGGAGGCAAGCGGCGGTGAGGAGGAACTTGTACTTTTTCTTTTCTTGCTGGTGCCTTTTCGGTGGCTGGAGAGCGACTGCTGACCCTAGCGGCCGGCCCGTCTTTTATATGATTTGGCCGCTGCTGGCCAGCGGACCCTTGCCTCACCCCCGCGCCTATCTTTATTTATTTAATAACCTTACAAACTAATAAACATAATTCACTATATAATATTCTTATAAGTACTTGTTAGACTAGGGTGTACATATCAATATTTTTACTTATTTACAGGTTTACATTATAATTTTCAGCTGCTTTAGGCGGAGAATCCTTCCCCCCGCCTCAGCACTATAAATATAAAACGTCGTGGCGCGGTGCGCGTGGCTTCATTTGCTCCGCGGCCGCGTCACGATAACATGCTCTTTGGTTACACTACTACTATTTTTTTTATGTGCCTAACGGCCTAATATATTTATTATATAATAAAGTAAACATTTATTATATTTAACAATTATAGTTTTCATTAGAAGACTATGCTAACTCTCCCTGTTCATACGGTGCCTTTATTTGGGAGAGTTATTGCACAGTTACAACTCAAC